GATTTTTTTGCACCCTCGGATTCCAGATATTCAAATAGTTGTATCTCGGCCAAATATTGTCATATCCTAACAAACCATACACCAATGGAAAGCTTATTAATTAAGCTTTCAGACGATGTATAAATCTCAATTTCAAAAAAATTGACCCTTATGACTGGTTTTGTGGTCCAGGGCCACAATTGTTCCAAACTTGTATGAGTTTCTTCTGTTGAACAAGATTTGGAAGAATGTTGGTAACCAAACAGCTGCTGGTTGGTAGCCATTTCCATAGTATGGAAAAAATACCAAAATATTCTTTTGTGTCCATCAGATGAAAGAAACTCACACAGGTTTGGAAGAACATGAAGGCGAGTAAATGATGACAACATTTTTCATTTTTGGGTGAACTATCCCTTTAAATTACTGGGTCACAAGACACAAAACCTTACATTCTCGGTGTCCTTTTTGAAAGTTTGCACGTTTTTTTTTTCCCTTTTTCAACAGAGCGTGTATGAAGGCATGGATAAGCAGGCTCAGAACACGGGGAAGCCAGCACTTGATGACAAAATATTCTTTTGTGTCCATCAGATGAAAGAAACTCACACAGGTTTGGAACAACATGAAGGCGAGTAAATGATGACAACATTTTTCATTTTTGGGTGAACTATCCCTTTAAATTACTGGGTCACAAGACACAAAACCTTACATTCTCGGTGTCCTTTTTGAAAGTTTGCACGTTTTTTTTTTCCCTTTTTCAACAGAGCGTGTATGAAGGCATGGATAAGCAGGCTCAGAACACGGGGAAGCCAGCACTTGATGATGGCAGGCACTTGAATGTCATTTTCCTGTATGGATGAAGGTCCTGTAGGTCGAGCAGCCTTCATGACTCCATCTCGTCTCTGTCGAACACGGGGGGCTCGAAGCTGATCACCTCCTCATACGTGAGCTCTGTGGACAGACAGACTGTTACTGTCACATCATGGAGAGGTTGGTCAATAAAATGTCATTTCTCTGCGAGATCTAGATGGTGCAGGCTTACGTTTCCACTCTTCGATGTCCAGCTCGCGACTCTCGAAGCTCTGGTCGTAGGGCTCTGCCTCGGGCTCGTCGTCCGGGTCGTGGTACTGGGAGAAGTACGGGTGCGCGAGAGCCTGTGACGCAGTTATCCGTTTATCTGTGTCCAGAACCAGCATCTTCTCCAGTAGGTCCACAGCTAGAACGGATAACATAGGACAGAGACTCAAAAAGCAACATTCGGAATTATAAAATACAAAAGGCAGCTAAATATGCTCATATATAAAAAAGAACAATTTATACTGGGAGAAAATAGTCACATTATGAAAACATGTTTTTTATAAATTTTTATTTTTGTAAAAGATTGTGTACTGTCACCGTACTGAAACCAAAACGAATTAAAAATAATATTTTTACTACACTCCAATAATATTTATTAATGCTTCTGAAAGTCTCTTCTGTTCACCAAGGCTGCATTTATTAGATTGAAAAATACAGTAATATTTTTAAATATTATTGCAACTTAAAAATAACTTTTCTATTTCAATACATTTTAAACTGTAATTAATTCCTGCGATGCAAAGCTGAATTTTCAGTATCATTACTCCAGTCTTCAGTGTCACATGATCCTTCAGAAATCATTCTAATATGCTGATTTGAAAAAAACATTTATTATTATTATCAATGTTGAAAACAGTTTTGCTGCTTTATATCTTTATGGGAACCATGATATTTTTTTTCCCAGGATTCTCTGAAGAATAGAAAGTTGCTGAATTATAAGAACAGCATTTATTTTAAATCGAAATCGATTGTAACACTTTTGATCAATTTAATACATCCTTGCTGAAACTAAAATTATTATTATTATTATTATTAAATCTTACTGACCCCAAATGGTAGTACATATTATTTAGAAAACATTTATTATACATTTATTATACATTAAACATTTTTTATATTTAATATAAAACTTTAAAATAGAAATCAGACTTGTTATTTCTAATAAATGATATAATTGTAATTAACATCATGATTTCTCACTACAAATAATAAAATATTACATTAAACGTACTTAATACCTAAAGTGTTAACTTTGACAACCTTGTAAAGAAAGAAAAAAAAATATGCGGCTCCCTGAGGGGGCCCTGGACCTCAGTTTAAAATCAGCTGATGAAGTTAATCATATTACTGCTGCTCAGATCCTAAGTTACCAGAAGCGTGGGCTAGTTCTGAAAGAGTTCTGCATCCTCCGGCTGAGTTTCAATGAAAAAAAGGGGATTTATCAGGCATAGGTAATGTGGGAAAAGCCAGAATTGTTACCTAATGGGTTTGCACCAACAAACACATCTGCAAAGTTCCTCTTGGGCATATACACAAGGGAACTGATGTAGTTCTGTGCCTGTTGGTTAAAAACACACACACACACACACACACACACACATTAAAGGATCACATATAATTATTAAAGAGTCAAAATAAGGACAAAATCTGGGACAAAGTGAAGCAAACAAAGATGGCTAAGAAAAAAGCATGACAATATAGAGTGCTGTATGGATGATGCATTTTGAAGGCCAAAATTTGGAAACAAGCATATTTGCACAGTCAGTGGATTTTGGTTAAATGCCTGAAATAAGGTCTGCAGTTAACACAAGCTTAACTTCTAAGCTAAGCTAACAAGTGGTTAAATAGGAATATATAGGTAGTCTTGCTGTGTTAATCACGCTCTTGCAAACTATTCTAACTCAAACTTTCAGAGAAAACGTTTTTTAAATAAAGACTGAAGGTGTTGTTGGATTTTTAACGGTGGTGACATTAAAGTCATGCGACCATGGTGAAGTTCATTTATAGCCTACATTTATATTGTATTTAGGTTTCAAAATTCAGAAAATTCATTAAAGCCCATTTGTGAAGATTATGAATAAAACTTGTAACAATAATAAACGTTCGTTGGTCCCAGAGCTTATTTTCAGCAATAATCCAAAAAGCCAATAGAAAAATCCTAGTGGGGTTTTGTCGAGGGAACCAGTGACGTAAACTTCAGGATTGGCCAACAAAAATACATCATCACTGCAATACTCTATCAAGATTAAGAATTATCTTAACCTAAATTATTTTGCACAAAATTAAACCACATTTAAAACATATAAATGTCATTGATATTTTATATCTAATGCATTGACCATTTTTAACGGGTTAAAAAATGTGCAAATATTCTTTGGGCCGATTTCTGTTCTTCCATTAACATCAGATTTCTGCTGAAATGTTCATCTCGATCTTGTTCAGTGTTTTCCAGTGGACCTCAGACCATGTTAAACATACACTGTGGCTTTGGTTTACTGCACAGAACATTATGTTAGAGCTTAAGCAGTCTGAACTCACTGCATGCCTGTGTTTAAAAAGAGTAGCGGTATTTGCCTAGAAGCTCAGCCTTGCAGTGAACTGTAAGACTGCAGAGGGCGGAAATGAGGTCAGACGTGTTGCATACGAAAAGCAGGCAGAAGTTGGGAAAGAGGGATGTTGGGAGGGGTTTGGAAAATCAAAAACGACCCATAGCAAACAGAAAAGAGTCACATAGGGGAAACGTAGTCACTTGTTCCAGAGCGGCCCGGGTCTGGAGGATTTTCTGTGACATTCTACGGCCAGACGTGGACCATGGGGTTCAGAAGGGGTCCGTTCTCACCTCGTGGCTCGGCATGCTGCTTATTAGAGAGTCTGGCGGGGTTCCCGTCAGTCGCATTATCTGCTGAAGCTGGTTTATATCTTGGGGAACCCAAGTCAAGGGTTGTACGATAAAATGCACTCACCAATAGGAGTGCTAAAACAGGAAAACAATGCGACCATCGCTGCGGCTTGATGCCGAGATTATTTAAGAAAGGGAAAAACAGGACAGGAAGAAGAGGAGAGGCAACACAAATGCACACCGTGTTAGATTAGACCCATGCATCCCATGTGAATCAATCCAGTGTTGAAAAAGACACAGGAAATGTAACAGGAAGTGTGAGGATTGAGAAAGCCATTGCTATGCACTCGTAAGCATGGGCTGATTTTGCAAAATCATCTGCCATCATCATCTGACTTCTACTTACTATTTTAAGTAGGGATGTAACGATTAACCGCGAGCCGGTTGAAAATCGATTCAAATATGGGACGATTCAAATCGGTTGAGATGCTAAACAAATCGCGATTCAGTTAGGGGTAGGAGTTTATATGAATGTATGTCTGAGGAGAACTTACTGTCCTTAGAAAAGTTTAGATGGTATTTTTTTCTTTTCATATTGCTTCTGTATAATGCATATTAAAGTTCATAAGTGCTACTGTTTTTACTGTATTTTTGATCAAATAAATGCAGCCTTGGTAAGCATTAGAGACTCATTTCAAAAACATTTAAAAAAATTGTACATACAAACCTTTGAACGGTAGTGTATATAGATATATATTTAATATTTATATATTTTATTTAATATATAGTTAATTCCTATCTCCAAAAGTGTGTTTCATCAATACATTTTTCAGAACCCTACAGTAATATCACCAAGAATTACCTTTCTTTGAGATATAACATATAAAAGTGATATATAATGTTCAGTTACGGAGGATATTCCGAAAATTTAAAAGTTTACATGATCCAAAATTCTGATGAATACATGCAGATTTCTAGAAAAAAAATATTGGCTTAACCTCATTATAGTTAATGCATTTACATTAAGTTTACAAAATTGGAATATGCCTACATTATTGAAATATGGCTGCTTGCAAAATCAGAATATGACCAAATTCTGATTTATATAGGAATATTCTTATGCACGTAAATGCAGTCAGTGAAAACTTGTGAATATGTTTAACAACTGAGTGTGACAGGCAGGTGTGAGCTACAGCAAAGTGGGCTAGTTCTACACACATGTCCAGATCCACACTGACTTCTGTTCAAATCGGACAAAGGTGGATGTTAGCAAAAAGCGCGTACAATCATCAAAATGTAAGTGAAAAGCGGATGAAGGTAAAGGGGTATCACTGCATGAAGACTAAAAAGTGTTCTTAAGCAAGTAGATGAGAGATTGAGGTACTTCATTCATGCAGTTAGAAACATGCATAAATGCAACAAATCAACATTCAGGTCATGCATGTGTGTGTGTGTTGATTTAAAGGGGTCATGAACTGATAAATCTAATTTACCTTAATCTTTTGATATATAACAGGTCAATGTACTATAAAAACATCCTGTAAGTTTTCAGAACTCAAAACTTTCTCGTTAGTTAAAAAACAGCTTTTATTGAAACCAAGATCAGAAAATGACTCGTTTTGGAATGTGCCACTTTCTGACGTAATAGTGTGGCTAAACACCGCCTCCGCAGGAGAAGATCAACGCCTGCTTCTACATCACTGCCTGTTTAGCTCCGCCCACTGATACGCACTTGTAGTAGGAGGAGAGGAAATACTAGAGAGACGCAAACACAGGATTACTCCATCGACAGAACCATACAGATGACATTACAAGATTACAAGACACTGTGTAGTGTCGGTTGTGAAAAATAGTTTTTGAATTGCCTCCCTTGTGATCCTAACATTATTTTTAAACACGAAAGTATGATGCAGGCTTTTCAGAGAGACTGAGAGTATTTCTTATCTTATTATTTTAATTGTATTGTCATAATTATAAACACTAGTTTGTAGCGCCAATAGTTTTACCGTTAACCGTAATTTATTGCCCCTCAAGTGATTTATCTATTACGCAAAGTCTTGCACATTCACAGACAATAGGTTACTTCTGGATTGCAAAATAAGGTGAATATAAGACTGTTTGATGTCAAAAACATCATGTTTAAGTAAACACACAATGCATTGCATATAAAAATTATATGGTTTGGAATTACACGAGGGTGAGTAAATGATTGACAGTTTTATTCCTGGCCAAACTAATTATGTTGTAGGGACACACAGTGCATTTGTGAATGTGCCACCTATAATTTAAACACAAACGGAGTTTTAACTAATATTATATTCATTCTTGCAATTCTGCACCCAATTTTACACCCAACAATTCTACACCCAATTTGCAGATATTATCATACGCACACAGAAAGTAGATAATCTGCATGTTTAGGCAACCAAATAACTACTTTATCCTAATCTATTCTTTCGCAGACTTCCTTGAAATGCAGATCACATTTCCTCTCTCGAAAGGCCAGGACCCCGTTTAATGTGGACTGAATGCGTGAGTGTGTTGGATTTTTCACAGGGGGCTTGACTCGACCTCACACACTAGAACAGAAGCAGCAAAGCATTCAAATTCCCAGAGTGGCACGCGCTGTGCTAGAATCTTTGTCCTTTAAGACTGAGCAAAGTTCATGTTTTTTGTCAACAGGACCATCAGGCAGTGTGACTCACTGGGAGGCAGCGGGCCGACACCAGCTGACTCATTCCCCTCGGGATCGCTGCCTCTCTATGAATTAGATTTGGCTGATACGTGTAAGTGTTTTTCTTCACACTTGCAGAGAGGGAGGGAGGGCTTGGGCAATGCATGCCAAAAAATGTCACACGACTAAAGGTTGTTTCCAGAAAGAGAGATTTGGGTCAGGGGGTGAATGAAGGGGAAAGGATACGATCAGTGCCGGGAAACAAGGTCCGTCCTGTGAGGAGCTCAGCCATTATGCAGCCCACCGACCAGATGTCCACTACAACACAAAACAACAACCCTCTTCTCATTCGCTGAAACAACATACATTCTGTTAAAGACAAAATGAGATTAACTCTCTTAACAAATGTCCCTAATCTTACTGTGTAGAATTCATCAGTGCTGTTATTCTAATGAAAAACATTTTGTTTTATATTTCATCAAGTAGGAAACAACTGACTGGAATATTGAATTATTGAAAATATGTAAATCTGTGGTGAATCAGCTGCAATGTGCATTAATTTTAAACTATTCAGTGGCACGCAGTTTTTAATTATCTTTTATTTTTATATTTTCAGTTTTTGTTTTAATTTAAGTTTAAGTGTCAATAATTATTAAAATTTGTATGTGCTTTTCA